GGGGGGGGGGGGGGTGACCAGGCCGGCGAGACAATTGGAGGGGCACCAATTGGAGGCTTTTCTCGGTTTGAATACGGCTTGTTGTGGGTGTGGTGCTACTGTAGAGGCATGTTTCTACCTGCAGAAGAAACGCTGCGTGTGCTTCCTGCGAATAGGGTCGCCTGGGAGAGAGACGTGCTATGAAAGGGTCATGGGCACAGTGATGAGTGGGTGGGCGAGGTTCTACACGCGACGGGATAGACAACGTTCAATCACAGGGGCGGGTAGCGGGTTGGGAAGGGTCTGCACGGGTTGGGAGGGGTCTGTAAGGGTGGGGAGGGTCTGCAAGGGTTGGGAGGGGTCTGTAAGGGTTGAGAAAACATTGGATTCGATGGACAAGGGATCATGCAGTCAAGACATCGAGAGAGGGAGAAAGAGAGAGAGAGAGAGATGCGGTCCGGGCCGTATGCCAACTCTCATGCTTGACAAACTTTAATGTGTGCCATTGGCCGCGTCCTCATCGTCACGTGTTGATCATGTTCACCGCAGGATTGCTGAGTGGGAAATATGACACACAAGCAAGGTCCTTCCTTTGCACGTGCACCGCTTCTGGCAGTGGTGAGTGTGGTCGGAAAACGTAGATAGAGCGTTGGTCTGGACACCATTACCAGACGGACAGAGAACAGAGCAAAGACGCATATGCAAGTGCTCGAGATCTTAATTATCCCGGAGTTTGTTGAGAAACGGATTACGGTGTGTTGGACTCCTGCGACATTTTTCCGTGCGCGCAGAGTCGTTTTTCCACAAGACCAACCCCTCAAAAAGAAACAGAAAAAAAAAGAGAAACGGTGACCGCCCAGACTTTGACGTGGAAGGGCCTGAAGATACTGTTGTTGCGTAACCGTTCTATGCGAATAGGCGTATCAGTATTTGTTATTCCTGTCAAATCAAGGAAGCACAGCCGTTCCTCGAGGCGTTCATATTTATCGAAACAAAAAAAACATCATTCGCAGCTGTTCCTGCTCCGACTTTCGAATCAAACACAACCAACGGTGTTCTTCGTCAGTACGCCTAGCTGTCCTCCGTCAAAGACGCCCCAGGACATCACACACTCACACGCATAAACTACTCCACCGACCTAGTTGATGTCCCCTCAGGAGACAACACTAAAAAGAGAGCAGGGAGAGGAAACACACCACCTACCTTGCGAGAAGCTGCCGTGATCGTTGACAATCCAGTCGCCACTCATGAACATGTTCGGGATGGGGGTCTCGCACGTGGGCATGCTGTCGTACGACCCCGGGGAGAAGTGCGTAACCCCCTGGGCAATACGCACCACGCTGTAGTCAACCACCTGTCACGCAAAGGGGACGGAGGGTGGCGTACTCATGTTTTGCATGCCTTCACTGTTAGACTATTGACCTCGCATTTCTACAACGCCGGGACGGGGCGATATGCCGGTTTTCACCGGACCAGCATTAGACGAACGACAGATGAACGGCAACAAGCACTAGTTCTTTGCTCCGGAAGAAACATTTACTCCTCGTCGAAAAAGAAAAACGTTGATCAAGATGCGTCTTCACACACGTGCTAGCAACCGCTAGCGTTATCTTCTGCAGCACGTGCTGCGTGCCGCGGTAGACTGCACAGCAGCATGTGCCTGTTCCCGTACCGCCTTTTATCCTTTGCCGGCTTTCTCAGTTCTTCTGCCGCCGCCAATGAAGGCGAGCACTGGGAAGAGCCACAACAAAACTCGCGAGACACGCCTCGTTCAACGTAGGTTAGCACCCCCTCCAACAAGAGGAATCCCAGTGTGAGTGTGTCAATAGGTAGGTCTATTGAATAAGGTAAATGCGTAGACTTGGCACCCCCAGTGTGTCCATACGTACGTCTAGCATACAAGGTAACTTGACACCCCCAGAGTGTCCATAGGCCTATAAAATAAGGGGAATGCTTATGCTTGCAAGCTTGTTTGGAACATACGCACAACAGATGGCATGTGTAAAAATACATGGTGGTATTTTCGTAGCAATAATAAAACAAAATACCCAACCTTATTTAATCTGGGTGCATGTTTGTTCAGGGAACTACATTCTTTAAATCCGGTGCAAGTAAACCTTGAAGGGGGGAGTCAGCCTTTGGAAAAGGGAAAATAGATGACCGCTGTGATGTAGTGTACCCTGGATGCGAAACCGCCAGGATCGATTTCTCAAAGCTAGCTCGTTTGCTCCACGTACAAGCAGACCATGTCAAAATCAACATAATTAACGTTCTCGGAAAGCTCTCGACAAGCAAGCGGTTTCAACGCGGTCATCTTTCTCACCACCATTGGTTGTTCTGCGGAGCAATCGAGTCTTGGTAGTCGGGTCAAGGGGGGGGGGGGGGGGGTATCTACGGCAGTGATAAATAGTGACAGTGGAGGCGTCGCCGTACCTTCGCTCGTCCCACTGCTGGCACACACGTTGCGATGTCGCCTTGCACCTGTTCGTCGTTTGCCCGGCCGAACGGCATGACGGAGATCCATTCATTGGCGGTCGTCATGGTCGTCATGGTCGCCATGGTCGCCATGGCGTTGTTTGTGTCGTTCGTTGTCGCAGGACGGCGTCGCGGAAACCGGTAGGGGCAATGGATCGGAGAGGGCATTGTTGTTGTTGTTGTTGTGGTTGTTGTTGTTACTGTTGTTGGTATTGTCTTCCATTGTTGTTGTTGTTGTTGTTGTTGTTGTTGTCTTCCACTGTCGTCGTTGTTGCTCTTGTTTTTCTTCGAGCAAAGGATCTAGGCATGCTCTACACACGCAACTACGCTTACCATACCCCGCAACCTCCGGCACCATTCTTGCGCCGATACCCGACCGAACGTTCGAGAAGCTTGCAGGTTCATAACACCGTGCCTGAATCAATTCCATGCGAAACCTTCACGCCCCGCACGCCAAAACAACCTGTTCCCTCTTGGTGCGCTTGTGACGTCATGTTTCGTTTCGGGCGATCGCATCTCACCTTGGCGACGAGGTCTTGGTCCGAACGCGGCAGCAGCTGGTCCGCGTGGTAGAAGTCGGCCTCCAGGACCGTCCCCTCGCTCTTATCGAGGGAGTCGTGCATCGCCGTCAGGTCGAAGAAAGTCCAGCCAGTCGTCTTGTCGAACCCAAAGCAGGCGTTGCTGACGGAAGCAAGAATGGTGTTGTTGTTTTCCTCACAATATTGAAAAAAAAATTCCGTTCTCTCTACTCAGTACCTTCTTCTGTCCGTATTAGTCCAACACTTCACGCGGTCGATTCCCGTGGTCACAGGCTAACTTACCCAAAAAACGTGCAGCAACAAATTAAAACACGTGGTTTGCTGGGAGTTTGTGCATGTGTGCGTGTTTACAGTATATGGGATGGGTTCGCCGCGAAGCGTGTAGACTATTCCACGGCAGACCTTGACAACAGCAAGCACATACACCGGGACACTCAAAGCACAACACAAGCACGCCGTTTGGCATTGACCGGAGGATGCTCATACGAGTTGTCGACTTCCCTGGAGACGTGGTACGTGCAACCAAACCTAATCGTTACAACGACCCAGCCCGGTCTCCAGCAGGTTTTCTCAACACACCGCACTGCAAAGTTCCTTCAAGACCACCCCCTTCGAATGGGAGCTTCGTGTGATTGAAGAAAAGCTTTTCGTATGCTGCAACAGCAGTCAGAGGTAATCTGAATGTCTCACCTCTGATAGGGTATCCTGACCCTCCTGTCCAGGTACAGCCGAACCGCAAGCGCGTCCACAGACCTGAAGGAACAAGCACAAAACAGCTTAATTCATTTTAATCGGATGTGTTTACCAGTTTGTTGGATACTCGTCATGGTGCTGGTGCTTCATACTTAATTTTTTTTAGCCAACAGCGGGCTACCTGCGCTGACCTGAGGTTCATCATCTTGGAGAAGAACGGCAGCTTAGACAGCCCCGGCGCCGCCCTCACGATGCCCTTCACCCCGTTGATGCCCACCGCAGACACGACCGCGTCGCAGGGGAACGACTCGCCCCCGCACGACACCGACACCACCCTCCCGGTGTCCGGGCATACCTCGACGTCGCTCACGCGTCTTCCTTTCACGGACGAGCCCAAAACATCGGCCGACGGCATGGGGACGGCTTCGTTCATGAGGGCAACAGGCGGAGAGGGACCGTGGGCTACGTGGGGATTGGTGGATATGGTCGGTGCCGATGAGATTCAAGGCGGACCGCACAATGGAGCACTATTATTATGGTACCTTGGGAGTCGGGGTGAACCGCACAATGGAGCACTATTATTATGGTACCTTGGGAGTCGGGGTGAACCGCACAATGGAGCACTAGTACCGTAAGAGTCAGGATGAACCGCACAATGGAGCACTAGTACCGTAAGAGTCGGGGTGAACCGCACAATGGAGCACTAGTACCGTAAGAGTCAGGGTGAACCGCACAATGGATCACCAGTGCCTAAGAGTCAGGGTGAACCGCACAATGGAGCACTAGTACCGTAAGAGTCAGGACGAACCGCACAATGGATCACCAGTGCCTAAGAGTCAGGGTGAACCGCGCAGGTGTGCGATCGGTTGAAAAGAAGGTATAGATGATTGCTGCACAACCCAAAAGGCTATTGTACCAATGCCCAAAAGAATGGCTATGAAAAACGATCTAGTCGAAGAACGTTCCGTTCCCGTGTCGGTGGTGTTTCGACAATAGGACCCACCCTCGTGGGGGCGGAGAGGTAGCCATTTAGCAAAAATTCTCGACCATACACCATTGCTTCAGTACGGTGGGATGCCCCCTTGCTTGCGGAGAAATAGTTATTTAGTCCGCATTGTTTCGGCGGTGAGATGCATGCATGTGGGTAGGGGGAGCAGGGTTAGTCTAGGGTCACAGTGCATCTCACAGGTCGGGCGGGGTGAGAGCGAACAGACCCTCTTTTGGCAAAAAATAAGAACGCAGATGGTTGCGGGAACCGACACCTATTTCGTGATCACGCGTTCCGGTATGTGTGATCTGGGAGCAGGTTGGGAATACCGCCGCGAATGTTGAGCTTTGACGGCACTCTCATGGCGTTTCCAGACAGCTAACCCCGCTGAATACCACCTCTCGCCTGCTGTGGTTCTTGACTGATGCTACGGGAGGGGGGTGAACTTTTGGGACTAAACGCGTAGTACTGTTTTGGTGATACTACGGCGAAATCGGGCGGTGGCAACATGTTTACGTAGAGTGTGTTTGCTTCCCTGCTCAAGAGTGTGGTACATATGACGAGGTGACCCCCCTACCGTAGCATCAGTATGTCCCACGTACACACCAGCACCCCGAAGGATCCTCCGCTATAGCCCCGACGAAAACGCTGCTACCAAACGAGGGCGTCTATCGACGAGAGGAGGAGGGACCGCTCACTTTTCCACGAGCACCTTGGCGCCGTTCTCCTCTATCCTCTGCACCCACGGCTTGAAGATCATCTCTCCCGTTGTGCCCCTGCACCACTTCACGTCGAAGTCTGCCTGGTGCGCCAGGATGAAGAAGTACAACATCCCGAGAGCCCCTGCCAACAGCGACATCGAGAGACAGACAGCGGAGTTGGTCATGAACGAAACGCACAACGGTTGGAGGCTGAACCAGGGGAGGTTGCGTAAACCGGCGGGGTTGGAGGGGTGTTCCGTGTGAAGTCTAACTCGTGGACAATGATTAAATTGCAAGATCACAAGGCTACAAGTGGATTGACGCACGGAATAAACAGGGCGGGTAGGCGGACATGATGCATGGGTTTTTTCGATCAGTCAATCTTTTTCAAATATTTTTTCGGTTGGTCGAAACCTCCATGGTCGACGTCAGCCATGGTCATGATGTCACCTCCTGGGGAAATTCAAAAGGATTGACTAATCAGAATACTGCGGGCATCATTTCTCTTCCTCTCTGTGGTCGTGCAGCTAGAGAGACGATGCTGGAAGAGGTGTGCACAAACAATCTCCGGCTGCGGCAACGGACACAAAAGAGGCACCACGCTCGTCACGAATGTGCCAGGAAACACAAGTAGAGCGAGACATCGGAGTTGCTCACGAAACAAAAGAATGCACGACGAAAACAAATGGGAGGGGGCGTACTATCGCTTTGCATCGTTTGTTTTTTGGCCATTGACCACGCGTCCTCTGGAGGACGGAGCGTTGCGGGGGCAAGTCAGGAATAGCGACATGGATCTAGTCTAAAGAGACATGTCTATTCTGGTTGAGACGTAAACAACTGGAATCACTACCCGTGAGGAACGCCTGGCAGGGACGAGGATTTGGGTTGCATGGCATGGCATGGGAAGAGCTAAGGGCTCTCTCTCGCTGAGGTGTTGCATGACATGAGTCTGGAGAGCCGGTTTAAGAGACCGACGTTCGGCGTCGACGCATGTATACCATACAAGGTGCGCCATTGAACAATAAATAAAAGAATGTAAACAAACAAATAATATATTAACACCATTAATACGATGTCAATAGTAATGACAGTGAGGGCGAGGGCGGACAGCCATCAACCATCGACATCATGAATGGAAAATCCTCCTCTCTGAGTACAGAGCAAAATGTAGATGGGCCAAGTCGGAGCGATTCTCCAGCTGACGTTCGACTTGACAGATAGGCAACTGAGGAGGCGTGTTGGTTCAGGAGACTCAAGTATCAAAATTAATCAGGTCTGGACAAAGAGTTTCTTCGATTGTCCCATAGATATATGCTGAAAAAAACAGCACACACTACTCGGCGGGCGCACGGGTCGTGGCTGGACGGCGACGCACCTGCGGCGCTGCACTGCTCCCCGGGTGCAAACAGGCCGACCAGCAGCATGGGCTCGAAGGCGTCCCTGTACAGCCTTTCGGAGCAGCCCATCATTCGGAACAGTTCTCGAGCCGTGTACTTATCATACCTGGAGGTTTCGGACCGAACAGCACCCGCGGCCACACAGGCATACATGTCACGGCCCCGTGGAACTTGGTGGAACACATCTATTTCCGCACCACGTGACACAAAACAGCAGAGCTTTGCACCGGGTACAAAATTCTGCCTTGTCGAACACAGGCGGCCTATTCGAATGACATGCCACCAATTTTGTGTCGCCGAGAGCGCATGATGTGCTGGTGCACGTTTCATTCCGACAGCCTTTCCTATCTACCCCCCTTATCTTTCCGTCCATGAGTGTTCACGAGAGACGATGGAAGTCAGCTAGAGAGCGTGTATTGTGAGTAGATACGAGGGCAGCAGGGCGATTGAACACCTCTGGCGTAAACAACTGAAGGCATGCACCCAGGAGCCTAGCCGGATCGGAGCTCTGTACTTACTAAAAGGAAGACAACGACGTGCCTAGCCGGATCGGAGCTCTGTACTTACCAAAAGGAAGACAACGACGTGCCAAGGTTACGCAGAAACCTCGGAGCAAACATTGACAAAATGGGGATGACGAAAACAAACACGGACACACCACGGTGTGTGTTCTAGAATATATACTCAACATCCAAGAAGGGCTGCAAGAGTAAATCGGTCAAAAAGATACCCCGCGTGGATCTATGTAACCTTAGCCTTACTCTCCTTGCTCACGCCGTTGTGCTTTGGAATCACCCCACGCTGGGTCGGTCTAGTGTTCCTGTTTTACGCCACAATCGTTAACCCGAGTTGACGCGGAAAGTTGCCTCTCTACCCGTACAAAGCCCGGTCGTGTTCAAGGCGCGTGTTCGCCTGCCGCCAGCTTCCCAAACCGAACCTCAGAATTGTTTTTTGACGAACACGGAACCCTCGACGTGGGCCTTGGCTGACAGCGACTGCGCAGCAAAAAAAACTCGTTTTCGTTTCTGACCAGACTTTGAAAGTCGCAACACGTACACTGATCGTCACGTGGATCAGTTTGGTCTACTGTAATGCGATGCCTCTAGACAACGGCAGACGCAGGAAGAGAGAAGCAGAGACAGGCAGACATATGGCCGCACTGCACTCACTTTCGCCACGCCTCTGGGGTGTTGTCCCAGTCCACGACGCTGCGCGTTTAATCGCCGTCGATGCCGTTTCGCACGTACATGTACATCGGGAGAGAGACGAATCGACACGAAACGAGAGAGATCGTCGAAACGCCATCACGTTTGTTTCCGAACCGGCACATTATAATAGCTCCTCACGGCACACTATAGCGGACCAATCGGTCCACGCGCTGTTATACCCTAACCTCACTGCAGCTGGCTGCCCGATGTGCCACACACTGCAGCTAAGGTGTGGAGTGGCGATAACAACACGAGAACGCCCACTCAAGGGATGTCGATGCGACATTGTCTTCGCAAGCAGAAGTCTTGCTGCTCTGACACGTCGTGTATGCATTGGTAGACGTGAATCTCGCGGAAGCGAGCGCGCAATCTCGGTATCTCGTTGACGCTTGTCGTCGTCACACGTGAGCGAAAAGCTAGTTGACAACAAAATTTCTGATGTCGAGATACTTGCGTCATGCGCTGTTTCGAAGGTACTGGTTCGATAGCAGTTTCCCAGTCGTCTTGCAGTTTAAAACAACAACGGCAACACCAACAACAGCGGCAAAGTCAACAGCAAAGCGACGATACCATCACCAACAAAGATACAGGCAGCAGCAAAATCACCACCGGCAACCCAACACATACACCAACACCAACACCAACACCAACACCAACAACACAACCATAGCACGCCGACCTGCTGCCTACCTGGCGAGCAAGCCCAGGGCTGTGAGGCGGTCAAACCAAGGAAGCCTGAGGAAACTGGGGTACAGGAACGTCCCCATCGGGGACGGCAGCCGTGGCATGTTCTGGAAGATCGGAGATATCACCTGTCGATAGCGACCGCGCGAGCCAACTAGGGGTGTCAATCAAGCCAGCCGGAGAGACGGGGGGAAACACCAAGGATATCTATCGCTTTGTGAAAAAACGGAACAAATACGGCCCAGCGTAGGATCGAGATCGCGCACGGGGCAACGGAAGGGCGGGGGAGGCGGGACAGGGGTGGGTGGGACACAGGAAACACACAAAACACACATTGATGGATCTCAAATGGTTAATGTCGTTCTCGTGTTATCTGTCGATAGAGGTGGAGCTGAAGGAACAGGACCCCGAAAACGTGCGCTTGCTTCCGGGTGACAACACCCAGCAGTTCCTATGCACAGGCGAGAAGCATTAAAGGTTTTGTTTGTCCGAGGAGGGGCCAACTTCACGAAACGAACTACAACGCCCCCCTAGTGTGGCGGTTTCAAGCGATCAACCACCTAGGTGGTACCTTTGCAGAACCTTTGAGCACGTACGCCCACGCAACACACGCCAACGTGCCCTTTGTACGCAAGCATGAATATGTACAGTACCAACGCATGATTATATCGCGTACCTCCAAGCCGTTGGGGCTGTACTGGGCAGACTGCGTCCACGGCGTAAAGGGGTCGATCTTGAGGTCATCCTCGATAAGCCTGAAGATGTTGCGATACGGATACCTAAGGGCGAGCGAGGGGCGGGGCGGATGGCGGAGTCCCCGTCAGCATTTGGTTGGTGCCATCATCGTGTTGGTGCGGTGCTCTCGTTACCACCACCACCGCGCTACCTGTGTGCTACAACATGAGATCGACGTTGAGCGGGGGTGCAATGACGACACGTAGCTGCCTTCTTTCACCCCCCTACATGGAAAGCCGATAGCCCCTGAACAACTCCTCAACGCCGATGTCGTCACCACTGCTCGTCATCCTTTGCAAGCTGTAGTAGATACGTAGAGACAAATTCGTCCTTGAATGGTCAGTGCCCCCTTGAGATGTAGCCGTAGAAACGCGCCGGACTTCCGTCAGTCGAAAAAGTCAGTCCATTGACTTCCGGGTACAGTATATATCGAGAGATTTGACTTCCGATTCGCGAGTTGAACGGGCGTCTGCAGTTCGACCGCATGATTGTTTCACGTGATTGGACACAAAAAAAGACTTTGTTGCTTCTTGCCACTGTTTCAGCCGGCGTTTGCGGCTTCTCGACGATGAAATGTAGCTGTAGTGCGGCACCACGTAGCACGCAGCCTCTCTGCTATCATTCCTATCAAGACGGCGTGCTACTTTTTCTTTTCCTCTCCTTGGTGGTAACCATGTTGTCTACCAAGGTTAGAAGAATATCGCCGCACATTCCAAACATTTAATGTCGATCATTGGCACTGTAGTCTATGCATGCAACCAACAACAGCATCGCATCCGTCGTACCAGAAGCCGTGGACACCCGCTTCCACTGGCCTCCCGCCCGGCGTTAACCAGCCCGCCACCAGCCCTCCGACAGACTTGCCCCCCTCCAGAAGCGTAACGTCAAAATCGTCATTCTAAGAGGCATCATGGACCCGAGAGAAGAACACGTGCGGTCCGGCGCACGAGCGTGGGGCGAGGGGGGATGAGTCGGGGCAGAACAGCATCGGAGCCGAGGAAAGGACGGCGCGGGGGGGGGGGCGGGATGGATGGATGGGTGGCACGCGATTATTTCTGGCAAGTCTGCGCAGTACAGCAGGGGCGATGGTGCAGCATCGGGGTTCGGGGCTCGGAGTACTTGATCAATCGTAGTATAGAATTCGCCACCGGGACCACTAGATCACCAGTCAGCGCTGACTACAGCAGCAGTGGTCTAGTGGTCACCTGCACTCATGCAGGAGGCACAAAGCAAACTCTTGTGTTCCACACCACCACATAGAATGTGGGCGAAGTAACAAAAAACTGAGACGGCTTCTCACATTTATCAAACAAGAGAAGGGAAGGATGGCCAAAACCAATGAAGATGACAGGATTGGTGGATCGAAAACAACCCTGGCGCGATCGATGTTAGGTACACTAAACGTACATCATCAGTCGATGGTGCAAAGGCAACAAAAACGTGCGGTATCACGGAGCAGCTCTCAGCCTTCTTGATCCACAAGGGCACATAGCGTTGGGCATCTACTAGGCCTGTACCGACTCCCGTTTAAACTACAGCTCCGGTGGTACATAGCGCGCGATCCATTATTTGCTCTGCCGGTTGAACGTTGCGCTCCTGGGAGTCTCGAAATGCTATACAACAAGTAAATACCTGGTGTACTTCTAGTATAACTTTGTTGGATGTCAACCTCCAGCGGAGCCCAAAACTGCAACTGCCAAGCAATACATACCGCTCTAAGCGATTCGAACGAGCAGCACGAACTACAGCACAACGACGCGTACATAACGCATGTGACCAATTGGCATGTACTATGTAGTGGTTGTCTAATCGTGCTTTTCCGTGAAAGTTGGCGAGCAGTACAGTCCAGCTCCACATCTGAGCAACGTGGATGTGATGACGGCACAGAATTTTCAAATTCAAACTCTGGTGTCTGCGTCACGTCAGCGTCAACTTTCCCCCCCGACATATGCTTACCTGCTTGGACAATTCATAAGCTGCAGCAAGCCCGGCCCATCCCGCACCAATCACGACGACCTTCTTCTTCCCATCACCTTCCGCTGCCTCGTTCATTGTGTCTACTTCTGCTGCGAGCTCTGCCTGCATCTTGGAGGAAACTGTCCGCCTGCTGCTGCTTGCACGCGACCCAGCATCATGATGTTGCAAAGACGAGCTCACTCTCGCTGCTGGAACGAAAGCAGACGATTCGCGAGGGAGAAAGCAGCAGCATACCAGTAGACTGATACGGCACCTCATGGTTAGACAGCTCCTCTCTCTCCTGTCTCTGTCGGGCATGATCTCTTGCCTCCCAACCAAGCCAGGGGATCAACATGAACGCTCGCCTCTGGGGTGACGACGAATCACCAACCAAGAACGCCCTCAACATTTCCTTGGAAACACGCGTCTCCGGAGAACACGAAACGGACAAAAAGATCTCATCCCGGAGGGAGACGGAAAAGATCCTGCTGTCACGTTCTTCCAACATCGCAGTGCGTGTGGATAATCTGTGGGCAAATATATCCCGCGAATATGAGCGAACCCGAGGTTACTGGCAGTGTGGGGGAGGACAAGGGCGAGTACGATGACGAGATGATGACCACTCCGCCGAAGGTGAGAAATCGGCCATCGTATCGTGTCTAGACTATGTGTCCCAGAGAGCTTGTTGTTCATGAAAAACTCGTCAACGTGCCTTGTGGCTGGCTCGTATTCGAAAAACAAGCGTGCGCGCATGGTGAGTTTGCGCAACAGTGGGTTGTGAGCTCGCAGCACAGTCTACAACGTAGCTGCCTCGAGGGTGTGTTCCACTATATATATGTAGATGTAGAGCCTTGCCGCCTACATCCGGCAGGTCGGTTACGAACAGCACGGGTACCCAGAGTAGACGCAATACAACAGCAGTGTTGGCCAACCTTTGTCTTTGCCACTCTTTAGCTTCGTTTCATGCTTGCGGTCCGCAATGTCTATGTAGTATTGTTTTGCATAGTCTACATCGCGTAAATTTACAGTAAATGACACCACACGCGTTAGTTACCTGCAGAGTGTACATCATGCACAATACTTACTGTTTCTACGGTCATATCACGCAGGGCATGGGGCCAAAGAGGCCGTCAACAGGCTCGATGTCTGCACGAGCTACGGCCAACCTCATGCTGGAAGCCAAGAACACGAGAAAGAGAGCAGAAGCAGACGTCCACCTTCTAGCAAATCGCCTAGCTCATCTACAAGCGGAGGAAGAGAAAGCCAGACGAAAAACGGAAGAGACGAAACAGGTTTGTCCACCCTTGGACCGCCTGTGATTTTATGAAGACGTGCGACTGCTTTTCAGAGAGCCATATGACCGTAGAGCTTCATTCTTCTGTGCAGCTATGTCTCTGTTGTCATTGTTGTCAAGAGTAATCGAGCACAAAGCTCTGCATTAAACTGTCACCCAGGCCTCTCTTCCGCGTTAGCGTCCTCGAAAAACGGACGATAAGTTCTGTAGTCCGAACCAAGCCAAAAACAGCAATGCCATGCAAGGTACACATGCACGGCGAGGTTCTGAAAAAACCTTGACACTCGCGAAGCCAGTAAAGTCAACTGCTTTCGGCGGAACCACTCAGCCCCGAAAAATGAGCAGCTTGGAGTCAAGAAAGTGCGTCACTCCAACTCGGAAGAGAAGTGGCACAACCAGAACTGGCTTCCCCTCTGCACCTACTACGACAGTCATCCGCAGGTCACATACCATGGTTTCTCCCTACAAGCTGGTCGATTTAAGTGATGCCCCCGGTATCCTTCTTAACCAATGACAATCCTACTGCCAATCCTAGCCCAAAGGTACCGCCCTAAGGTGTTGCCTCTTGTATGTTGCGACGCGCGGCTCGCCACTTTTTCTCGCAGCGCGCAATGGAGATCAAGAGACTGAAACAACAGAACCAGCAACTTGCGCTTGAACGGGAGAGCAACGCGCGGACGCAGGGCAAGAATAGCAGCAACCACGAGCGAGCTCTGGCGCAAAGAAAGCAAAAGCAACAACACGACTTGCAGGTGCAGGTCCCGTTGGAGAGAGAAAAGCGTGCTCGAACGTCAGGAAAACGATCCCCGGGAAGCTGCACGAGACACATCTTACGTACTTCCATATACCACAACGATGTCAAAACGTGATGCATCAGATGAGGGATTCGACCCGACACGACATTTCCTGGGTCTCATGACACACAGTTCATTGGATAGTCTCTCTCAACAATGGATCATTTGAATCTGTTGCCTTGCCGGTCCTCCTCCTGGACCCCCCCTCCTCCAACCCCACACGCTGGCGTCTGCAGTCAACCAAGGCCAACCTGGAGAAGCAAAGGAGGACCAACGCGAAGTCTGCTAGAGAACAGCGACAGGCGTTGCAAATGACCTACCAGGTGCCTACCTCGCATGCCGTTTCGTCGCTGAGGCTGAAGTATCTACTTCTTCTTCAGAAGCGTCAGCACCATCAGTCTTCGGAAGGCACTCGTTGCGAAACAAACCGTTATTTTCCGAAGCAATACTTCCAATACTTACCAACCTTGTCAAAACGGACTGCGTTGCGTCAAAGTATATCTTGGGCTTGCTCCATCGAAGCGTCTTTGTCATAGGCACGTACGTAGTGAAAGAGGCAGTCGATAGAAAAACCACCGTTTTCCTTTCCAGCGGAAATCTCCGGGAAGCATAGCCGAAACTGGCCATCAGCCTTATCGAAGCTGCAGCAGTTAGACATCTCCAGGTCGAGTCAGATACGCAATCAATGATGAAATTCGCCACCAGAAAGAACGCGGGGTAACCATGTACTCAGAGGCATTAGCCATCAGAGAACGACAACAGTGCCCCAAGCCTGTGGGTTGGCTTTTCACCGAACACTACCCCGGGTTGGATTCACTTGCTGCTTGACAGGAGCTGCGAGCACAGAAGGCCGCGGAGAATAGACGGAGGACCGAGATGGTCCGGAAGCAGCGCGAGGAAGCTCGCCTAAAGAAGGAGGCCGAACAGAGGGAGAGGGAAGCGAAGCAGCAAGAAGAGCACCGCCGGCGAATCGAAGCCGAGAAAAAGAAGGTATGCCTGCACACCACGGGCGGGAGCATTATCTGGCATAACCTTGACGGCGATGCGGGGAACGGGGGTGGATGGTGGTGATTGTTGTTCTGTTGTGTTTTGGCACAATGTGGTTTGACTGGATCTGGGTGATTGTTTCCTTCTGAGGCGAGCAGTGTACTTGTACAGACCGCATTCATGTAGACTTACCCCGGCGAAGGCGTACCAACGCGGCTGTGCTTTGCGCTCGGAAGTTGATGCCTTGTCTCTTTGGAGTTGCGCTGGGATCTGATCAGAAGAGTGGAGACAATAACAGATCCCCACAATCCAATCCGAATTGCGATACACATCCCTCACAAGCAGGTGGTTCCCTTCTTGCAAGGCGCACTTCTGATATTTCCTTTGGGGCGCACATATGCTGAACCAAAACTCTCAGGGTGAAAAGGCACCCAAATGTTGCCCAATACCGCCGCGGCCACATCCTATGCAACAGTATACGGCCTAAACAAGACCCCGCCGCCGGCCACGCGTTTTTGCAGACACAAGAAGCAGAGCGCATGATTGAAAAGATGGAGCAGGATGAGGACGTCTTGATTGAACGCCTCAAGAAGGTCCAAGACGAGCAGCGTAAAGCGTACGAGTTGCTTCATGAATCTCTTGAAAGCTGACATTTGCCGTGTGATGACGATTGTGTCGAGACTACTGCCAAACTCCACTCCATGACATGGGTTTTACGGAGAGGTCGCTGAGACCGAGGGTTTTTGGCAGATATATGTACCGAAAGAATGTTGGTTGTCACGCCAATTTGTTGAATATGATGTGTTTAGCGATACCTCCTTGTCGGTATTGCGTTCCCATTTTAGTTTGCCCCTGGGTTTCAAAAAGTTGACGTCGCTTTTGTACTTGGGGCAACGCCACCGTCACCGTACGAGCAAGATCGCAGATTTTCGTGGTGGCGGAGATATGCCTCCTCGGTGGGCTGTCCACCACGTGGCTGGATGGTTAAATCATTGTTGAAGCACGAGCCCCGAAAAGGGTAGCGGTTTACTATACTATGACAAGGACAGGGTGAGGTTATTCCACAACGGACCTTGGACAACACACGTCCCCGAGCATGAGAGTATTGTATGGTCAAAAGGATTTCGCGATGTTCACGCAACGGGAAGGCGTGCGTCCCTACCTTTCCACTCTCCGACCTCTTCATCGGGTGCTTGTCGCAGATTGGTTGAGGTAAACGTCAACGCGATTATTTTTCCGCGGGCCTCCCTGCCAGGATGGGTGGGGGTACGCGACTAAGAAGAACGGTGTGTGTTGTGTCTTGTGTCTCATCTTGTTCACAACGTGGTAGCCGAGGATGTGTATTTCATCCACAGGTTCCACGCGCGCTTAGAGTTGTCCTTCAGTTGTGTACTTTATCCTGGATGGTTGAAGATGACGTCGGGGCGGGTATTCCGATAAGCAAGGAAATGCGGCGAGACAAAGCAGAGAGCTGAAATGCAAATGAACTCCACGATCCTCCACCGCAGTTGGTTGTACCGAGGCCGACATGAACGCCGCACCAGTGCTTGTGATCACCTCCCGATGTAATGATATCCAGTCTGGGGTTATGCTTGATACTACAAGCTAAATATTACTCGTCTGACGCCAGTGCATGACATTGGGGCTAAGCATGGAAGGGGTGTCAGCAACAGTAGGGATCCCGTGGACACAAAGATTGCAGCTTCCGCACTCACTCCCGCACTCAATCAAGACATACATACCATATTCGGAAAGACAACACTGGCGACACGGCGGCTGCTGAAATGATTAATGGTTTCTTTGCCTTTCAAAAGTGCTGAAGTTAGGTGGTAAATCGATATAGGACATCAGGAGCAGTAACACACGCATGGTGGCACGCCCAGAGTTTGTATCTCTGTTGCTGGGGCCGTGTTGTCGAGAGTGAGGTACGTAGCAAGCAGTTGCGGTCATGAAAGTTCGCGAACCTCCTCCGTGGTTTCCTCAACCACTCACGACCTACTGCTGTCGTATCGTCACCACAGACCTAATCTCCTGAGCTGCGGGTACAGCAGCTGCTCCACACCATCATCTTACTTGTAGCTCGGGCACCCGGAAATCCAGGGGGCTGGGGGTGGTGGCTGAATTGTTGGGTTTTTTGAGTTGTTGTTGGGAACCACAACGGCAGCCCTCGATATCGCCGCAGCGCCACCGCAGAAGAAGATCTGAGCTTGCCAACGCGCGATTCGCTGCTCCATGATGTTCGCTACCGATTTGACTACCATCAACACGCACGTTGTGGGCCGGGATCTATATTGGATGCCGACCTTCATTGTACGATACGCCCTCACAAGATCTCAAGGATACGCTGCTGAACCCCCCCCCCCCATTTCCTATTTTTTGTGATGCCCCTCCCCCCTATCTCTTCTTCAACTGTTACAAGCTGTTGTCTCCCCCAGGGACATCTGTTCAGGAATCACAGCAGGAACGCACTACAGGAACAGCTCCAAACGTCCATCACGCACCCGTACACGGCTCCTTCTCCCGCGAACCAGAGAGTAGACCAGCGCTGCGGTGTACTCGGCCTTTGCAACCACATTTCGCCCACCTAGCGAACACAGCACCGCCGGACAAAAAAGCTTGGGAAAGCGACTCCTCCTTCACATTACGATAATGGTGGCTCGACGCTTTTGCCTGATCGCGGCAGTTGGGAACTGCAGCTTGGCCATGGGTAAGAGGGGTGTGCTCTTGATCCACAGCAGAGAGACTGACAATCGACAGCAGTAGTTTGTGCTTTTGCTGGGCGGTTCTTTGCCAGCATGGCGGGTGTGTGAGCCATGAAAGAGCGGTTGTGCCTCATCCTCTTTTCCGGCTGTCTCCGCCCTCACACGTAAGGCGGGGGTGCATGTCTCACGCTCGCCCTGCAGCTGCTGCTGCGATCGGGGGCGAAAGCACCAAGCACGTTGGATCAAACGGGCAGCAGTGCTTGTGCATGAATCCTATCTTGATGCAGCAATCCCACGATTTAACGAACTCCTAAGGATGGCGCGTCGATCCGCCCCAATGCTCCGAATCATGTTTTCCGTAAGTTGTAGTTGAGCTGCACCAGTTGTTCGAAATGTTAGGTCGTATCATGAGCGTCGTTCACACACGGCTCTGAAACAAGCTATGCATACAATAGCTTGGTGTGCTGCAGTCGCCGTCGTAATGGCCAGATGTTCTGGAAACCTACTCTGGCATGATGTGCGGAAGAAAAGTCTTGAGCAATAGAGAAGGAACGTTGAAGTGCACGACATGATGTCGGTGTGCATTGTTGTTGAAGAAAGATGATGTCGGTTTCAGCCTAGAACTTGTGTGCGTACCGTGCTCGCGCCCGCTTTCTGACACCGTGTGATGCATACTTGTATATTTGACATGAGTTGCCCTCCAAGGTCCTTCGAAGCTACTGCTGTGCGTGCTAGGGGCATTCCTTGTCATCTCCGGTGCACGCACTCCTTGCAAAAGTTGCGGGTTTCGGCATGCAGGTTGGCATGTATGCCGATTACACATGACCGCGGAATTTTACACTGCAAAGTACGGGCCGGCCGTGTGCAACATATTTAGCTGTTGGTTGCACCCCGTCAGCTATGACGCAGTTGACTCAGGCGTGGGCTTTACCTGCTCCGGCATCGCTGTTGCTCGTGCACCTTGCCTGTGACCCGCTTAACTTCCAGGGTGGCTCCCATCCCCATGTAGTCTTGTCCCTCGCAAAATGGTAACACATGTTGGCACAAGAGAAGACCATGTATCGTGCATGTTTTTTTTCAGGATTGATGACTGGGAAAGGCTGATGGACAATGGCGGCGGCCGTGAACACACCGTCCATTTTCGGAACACATTCAAATTCTCTCCCCGCGTTCTCTCTCTCTCTCTCTCTCTCTCTCTCTCTCTCTCTCTAGCTTTCTTTTTCCGGATTTTCCGGTTAAAAACATCTACTTTTCTACCTTTTACTGACTTCGCTTTTCGTACCTGCTCAAGTGCGGAGAAAATGAAGCAATGATGAAGTACATGTAGTTACATGGGCGGTCGGCTCTACCGTTACATCCTCACTCCCATATAAAAGGGAGAGGGAAAACAACACCTTTGGCAAAGTAGGAGGAAAACGATTGGCCGTCGGTGATCGGTCCTGTGGGAACAATGTTCTAACCGCTAAGGCACGCGAAACATGAGTACCCCCCACGGAGTTGAGCGAGCGGGCGCTAGGGTGGGGGGTAAAGATACCTCTTTTGTCTGGACACCTCGGTAACCCTCCATCGCTCCATGTCCAACAGCAATTACACCTTGGCCACGCCTTGCACTTGTCGACGCTTGAGTCGGATCATTTTTGCGATGACACCCTTCTACCTTTTCCTGCTGTTGCATTTGCCCTGTCCTGCCTTGCGCGTGTGGAATTTTCCGCACCCAACCCACGGTACATTCCGTATGCATGCCGGGACGATATCTGCTCCATGCTACGGGTGACTCTCCGGGCATGGTGATGGTATTGGTGGTGCAGGCTTTCACTTCAGAGCGCCGCTATCGTCAACTGGTCTTGGAACGGCGCAACAGCAGTGGTCGGCACCGGCGCAGACGGCACCCAGGCGCTCCAACCTCGTCCCCTTGCAGGTGAATACAGCGGCAGTCAGTACGGTCGTGGTCCCGGTTTAACGGTTCCCTCTTTTGCGGGATGCCCTGAATAGCGGTTCCAAAATCTCGTGGGACGGATGCGCCTCGGCCGTCAAGCCACCTATTCCATGTAGCTGCCAATCCGGTGTAGCGGCGATGCCCTCAACAGCAGTGATGACATTTTGTGCACTATGGACCGCAAACCGGGACCACCACGGTACGGCAGTAGTGCGATATGGCGGTATGGAAATCACAGCAGTCAGTACTGCGGCACAAGTTCAATTTTTGTGCACCGATCGTTCGACACGCAAGGTGTGCAGAATAGAATGATACTGTAGCATGTTGTTTTTCACACCCAAGAGCGGGTTGTTTTCACTCCCAAGAGATTCGACGGCACAACCTGATATAGGAACCGTAAGATCTTACGGTATGAGGTTGCCAACCGACCACAAGTTTTCTCACTCCCAAGAGACTCGACGGCACAACCTGATACAAGAGCCTTGCGGTATGAAGTTGCCAACCGACCACCACTCAGTGTGAACTGGATCCCACTGACGCCGCTACTTACATATCGCAATATTCGTCGCGACTCTTTAGTCCAAAATGATACCATGTGGTACCATACATAGCCCCCGCATTCGAGAACCTCTATTATATTTTTTGCAGAAAGGGGTTCTTACATAGTTTCTAGGGTCATGCTATGCTACAAGGCAATTGGCCGCTATACTTGGTTTTGTGTAGGGGTTGTCAGCAGGGCTCACCCATGGTGCTCAAGTTCTTACGTTTTGAGCTTTCGGAGGCTCAGTTTGTCAACTCCCGAGTTCTTAAGGGCGCCAAGTGCATGCCGCAGGCATTAGCGGGAACCGAGCAACGCCGCCACGCTTGTCGCATCTGCCGCTGCTATTCCTTTTAGTCGTACGAAACGAACAAAATGTCACCATCCCTCGTGCAAGCAGGCGGTAGCGGGGGCAACGAGCAGGAGGGCCCCCATCATAGTCACGGGAAACAACGTGGAGGTCACGGAACCGCTCAAGGAGTACGTGGAGAAGAAGATGGCCAAGGTTCTGGACAAGGTGAGTCGGCGTTTTTGTTAATTGCCTCCTCACAGGTCACGGTTGCTGCAACGGTGCCAGCCAAGGGTCAGCGGCGAAGTAGCCGGTTGTATATATATTTTTGGATGTTGGGAACAGTCGCTCTCTTTTCTCTTTGTACCACTGCAGCAACGGAACCGAAGAACGTGGTTGCTTTACTTTTACCAACGCGTATCTTCTTGTATTTTCAGCTGCGTGTTTCGCGCAGCACAGAGAACGTGTTGCTTGACCGCCCATAATACGCGCGTGCTTGATTGGCGTTCCTTTTGCTCTTGCAAACTTTGCAACTGCGCCCGGTCGAAAGCAGCATTGCTCACCTGGTATTTTGTCATCAGGTGTTTTCCTGAAACGATGCGACGCCCCTATTTTTTCTGTTGGTTGTGTCGCGAAGCGTTGCGCGGATTTGTTTCTTTTGCTTGGGGCAATCGAGGTCCCTCCATAGCGCAGGGTCCCTCTATAGAGCATGTGGGCGGTAAAGCGCGGGTGAATTCTCTTGGCAAAGGTGGAGCACTCGACATGCCTTTAGTTTGAATAGCGAGGGCTACTTGGCGCATACCCGCCCTTAGAGGGACCCAGAGTGTGTTAAGCTTGGGGCAGCCTTGACCATGGAAGCGGGTTGCTGTCCGTTGCGTTGTACGTACAATGGGGCACCGGAAAGGAGTTGCAACGGCTTGATGGTTCAAGACCGCGATACAACGTGGAAACAGCAACAACCGCCAAAATTTGTTTGTTTCTATTCGTCAGGTGGGGTCTAGCGTGTCCAAGGTAGACGTGCACCTCAGCGTGAACAAGAACCCCAGCGTGAGCGACAACCACAACACGGAGGTGACGGTGTTCTCCAAGAACCACGTCATCAGGGCCACCGACAACAGGTAAGAGTTGTTACATTTGTGGAGGCGTGCTGCTGTGCACAGTCGGCGACATGGTCTCCGCGACGCAGAGAAAACTTGCCAAGCCGCGCACAAGAAGGCATACTGGGCAACGCGACGCCATCTTTTTGAGCCGCTATCTATTGTCTTCATATTGCGTCCTGTCTCGTTTGCTTAGTATTGCGCGGGGCGCATCTAACGCGTGCATCAGAAAACGGTTTATTCCATTTTCTCCCCAGGACCTGTAAGCCTGGAAACCAAACAGCCTACGTTGCCGCACTCAAAACACGTCCCCGATGCTAGGCTGACGCGCCGGCTCGGTGACTTGTGCAATATATGTGTGTGACCAGCACTATAGAGGTATCTTGAGGGCACATACATGTACCTTCACTATACCAGGACCGGTTATCCCATAGTGCGGGTCCCCCCACTCTAGCTGTTTTTTCATCTGTCTGCGCCAAGAGGATTCACCCGTACTGGCTAGGGCATCCGCACTATCGAAACCCCCTCCTCAACACATGTCTGAGCACCTCATATGCATACCGTCTGCTGTTGAATCGATGTGCAATACAACAGCGACAACATGTACGCCTCGGTGGACCAAGTGACGGACCGCATCCAGAGAAAGCTGCGCAGGTTTAAGGAGAGGAAGGTGGCGGGCATGCGGGGGCGCTCGGGGGTGGGAGGGTTGTCAGAGAAGGTGTGTGTGGTTATCGGTGCCTTTGTTGTTGTTGTTGTTGTTGTTGTTGTTGTTATCTTCACATTAGCGACCGTTCCGGTCTCCACTCAGTAACTTCTAATGTCCGTATAGTATAGTATAGTATAGTACTGGTACAACTCATGCGGAAGCCTAACGTGGTCACAAGCCAACTGCCCCCAAAGGCCTACCCGCGATTTTTTTGGTGTGGCGCCTGTAGTGGGATATGTAGAAGGAGGATATATTTGCTTTTAGTGGAAAGGGAACGTGTTTAGTGATCAAACGACCAAATCTTGGCATCTAAAACGCGCACGCCTCTCCTCGACCGAAAGCCCACCAAATCGCCTTTTGACCACTAGCCGATTTCCGTTGCCTCACGAAGTACCCTTCTCTTGTTTCATTTTTGTTGCCAAGTGTTACCTGTTTTGGCGACCGACCGCCTTGACCTTGTTCTTTTCGTGTCCCGTTTGCGGACCCCTCCCTACTCGCCCTTTTCTTGTGTGCCTTCTTTTTATCTCTCTCGTTGTTGTTGTTGATCCTTGCGGTGTCGTGTCTTCTCGTGTTGGATGGGTTTGTGGGGGGCAGACCGCGGAGAAGGACATGGACGCCGCTGCGGCAGAGGCGGTGAGTTTTCCTCCATGGGCTTTTCGCCCAAGAGACCCTGCTCGTGTTTTGGCTTGGCTGCGTTCCCTGGGCCATTTATTGGGCGTGCTTATTGTTTAGGACATGCCTGGGGCAACAATACATTCGTCGGGCTGGGTAGAGATCTGGTGTCGGGTTGGGTAGAGATCTGGTGTCGGGTTGGGTAGAGATCAGGGCCTGCTTCACTGTCATACAAAACAGGCACGAAGTCTCTCTCAAACCCCATTCGTTCTGAAACATGCGCGAGGCTTTTCCGTGGGGCAGGCCTTGGGTATCATGCTGTAAGGACTGCTGTCTTGCTGCTGAGGGGATGGCGTACGTGGGGATGGCGTACTGCTTCCATGATTTCTCCCCAAGTTTCAAGCGGGTCGACCATTGTTGGTTTAATTCTCTGCTAGATAGGAAAGTGCTTTAGTCTCGGAGCATCCCCGGCGTACTGTGTCGTTCATTCGTCACACCGAAGGACAATGCCGGTGGTGATACTCTTGCCTTGCCCATTCGCCCTGACCCCCAGCATCAAACTTTTTGCTACTCCGAGTGACGTAGCCGATATCTGGGAACGGTGTCTTCTCATGAGTGAATTGACATAAGATGGAGCGCAAAACACTTATTAAATACCCGCGGTTTTGGTATTCCGTATTTTCAAGGTTCCGTCATTCCATACAGTACATGGTAGATTTTTATACATCCGCGCAACCTTAAAGGTTTAGTTGTTCCATAATTCATGGCGCACCCGTGAAAGTGCCTTTCCACTTTTCGTTCTTAATCAGGCGGACGAAGATCCCTTCGAAGACAAGTACGGCGATGAGCCCGAGGCGATGGCTGTAGTGAAGACGAAGTCATTCCCCATGCCAGCAATCAGCCTCGAAGAGGCTGTCACGTGCTTGGAGTACATCGGACACGACTGTGAGTGAGAGTCGGGACTGGAGTTTGAAGGGTTCCGTAGATGGGTAGTCGTAGCTGCTGTAGATGGGTAGTCGTAGTTGTATGCTAGCTGCACCGACCAAAACTGTTGTGCTTCAAGCTTAGGATAACGATACCCTGGACTACAGTGTGCGAGGCTTTGACTCAAATTTTGAGTTGTCTAGGACTAAGGCTGAAGCAGACTACAGTAGTTGGGTTGAAGTTGCTCGGATTACGATCTTGTTAGGGCGGAAGTGAGTGAACATTGACATGGGTGGTTCCCGTGCGGGTTACTGACGGCTACTGAACGATTTTCAGACATCTTTGAGCAAGGCTTTGCAGAGATGACGAGACGTGGCTTCTATTTTTTTTTTTTTTTTGTTCTTCACTTCAAATCAGCGCTCACAGCACTAGTGCCGTTTATTCCAACCCGTGGTCTTCTATGCCAAGGCACGAATGATCAGCAGAATATCCTTTCTCGCCCCAATACATGTTCTCGCTCGTCGTACGCCATCGACCCCCTGCTCTCTTGTGTTCTGTTTGACATTGGTGGTGTGGTTTACAGTCTACCTGTTCCGCAACGAGGAGACCAACGAGGTTAACGTCGTCTACAAGCGCAAGAGCGGAGGGGTGGGGCTCATCGAGCCGGAGTCGGAGAAGTGAGACAATGATAGCAGTCAGGAGGGGGACACCGCTACTGCGAACGATAGGGGCAGCATCTCATGCTGGTGGGGCCGGCTAGACGACCCCCCATCGTGGCGGACTCGCAGCGTCTGGCTTCTTGAGGACAAGTCCTGCCGAGAATATCGGAAGGCATTTTGTTGCTGTTGTTGATGTTCGAGGAGACACCGGTCTCTTCCGCTTCCCCTCGTGAAACCAAGCTTGGTGCAAACGCATTTGTGGTCTTTTAGCGGAAGGTCTCGGCAAGGTGTTGAGGTGTTTGGTTTGCCATGAGTGGGAAGAGGGGTGGCTCATCTTTGTGTACGGTTACGCGTGGTGCGTCTTAGAATTGTACCAAGCGTCTGTGCGTGTTGATTACTATTTTAGAGGTTTTGGTTGTAAGCGTGTAGTAGTCAGGGACGATATATTTAGGCAACATTCTTTTATTCAGTACGCGCCGGAGAGTTAGAATTCCCGGAAAAATGAGACGAAGCATCGGACCCCTGCCTATATGCAACGGCGCTCTCAATGTTGTTTTGGCGACGTCCGTTTTGGCGACAACAGCAGTCGCCCGAGGAATGTTCGCTTACTTGTGGCGAGTCTCTGACGGTTGAACATCCGGTGTCGCCCACCAAGCAGCCCGATATTTGTTCGACCGCACGCTTGCAGCCGCTGAAATGTGCCTGAGTTGGCCCTGCGAAACCAGCCGTTTCTCTCGCACGCAACGTCCGTTACTTCATTTTTCTTTCTTCGCCCTGGTGTCCTTGTACCACGTCTGTTTGCTGGGCCCTCGGGTTTGTAGCTGCTGCGTTTTCAGTTCGTCACGCTCGCCCGGACCCTCCCCCCTCAAGCCGGTACGTACAAAAGCGTGCTTTCTACAGTAGTAGGCTATCGGTCTCTGCGTCATGTGGGATCGATGTTACACAGTTAGCGCCCGCAATTAAGAAACGCTTATTTCAGGCCCAGCCTCGAATTCTTATTGTGGACTATAATAAACTCAGCGCAGGTCGTTCAGTTTCTTACATCATGTTTCTTATTTTTTCGATTCTGCGCATGCTCCTCCAAAGTTCCCAAGCTCTAGCTTGGGTCTCAGTCGATCAAAAGTCTTTTTTTTCCGTCTGTGGAGTTTTCAGTAGCATAGCGGACCCCTTGCCCGACCGGGTCGAAAAGGCCGATCTCAGCCCACACTGCGAACCTCCGAGAACTACCAGCAGTTCTGGGTAGCTGAGACGATTTCAAGACCTCTCACAGCCGTTTGAGCAGCTATCGCTTGCTGTGGGGCGATAACCAGTTTCTCCGTCGACAAGAAGATCTGCGTTACATCGTCACCTCGGAACGACCAGACAGATTGGTTGACTTGTCGTTGAGGGTCCTCTTTTTATAGATCTTTTTGTATAGTCTAAGAGTCGTCTTCATTTTTTTCTTTTGTGATTTTCTTCCTTAGTCTATAGTGACCGTTGTGCACATGCGGTGGCTGCTGTTATGCTCGGAAGATGCTGCAAAGGTCATAAGGTTATCGTCTCTGTCGCTTGGGCTGCACGCCGTGCTCGCGTAGGAGATGCGCATTCCTCATTTTTTCTCAGTGCCGATATCCATGAAGAAAAGCAACGGCAGCACGGTTGAAGATACAGACAACAGAGACGGTCCGCCATAGTTTTTTTTTTCTTCCCTTACATGCATGGATGGGTGGTAAAGCATCGCAAGCGTGTTGCTGCCTTACCTTTAGTGTGCTGCGTAGTCGTAATTTGAGCGATAAGGGGTAGATGGCAGGACAATCTTATTTGCGTAGTGAGGTTTGACAACTGGTCGTTCGTGGAACGGTGCGCGTCTATCGCGACGGCAAGCGTATTGAGAAAATAGTTCGTCCGTGGTGCTTCTCGTCATCATTTTCTATTTCGTTGTCACTTCATACTTCATGCCACAAGTGATGAAAGAGAGTCTCCACAGTTAGTTCGGAAACGGCGACTATATTTGGTTTGTTGCGTTTGTTGTTCCTGAGCGCACATCGGATGTCGCCGTTCGTTACAGCCTGCGGTGGGCCACAGGGACGAGAGTGAGTGTCTTCGGTTAGGGTTAGGGTTAGGGTTAGGGTCTCGAGAGTTAATTAATGCCTTCTCTACGCTTTCTTCTGTTGGTCTACGTAGTAGTAGCACCTGTCTCTCTCTCGCCTATTATCGCCGTTGGGGTCCCAACAACATCGAACGTCAACCGCAATCGTTTTGCTTCTCTTGCTGAGTAAGAAGAGGCTATTTGTGTAGTACGTACCCGGCTGCTGTATGTGAGGCGATGGGCGCTGCCTCTTTACTTGAAGCAACGGGGGCATGGCCCCTATACTGTTTGCTGCATGCTGTGCTATGTGACAGCTTCCAGCGGTTCAGAGCGGCGACGGTGGTTTTCGTATGCTCTCTTTTGCCACCTCCCTAAAGCCTGTCGCGTCTGGCTCACTTGTCTTTGTCGTCCCTTCTTTTTTTTTTTTTTTCTTAATATGACACCACGAAACCATCTCCATCATAGAAAAGAGTTTGAGACAGATTAGCAATGGATTCATAGCGTCAGAAAAGTACCTGTATGTCTACGATTTCCCAGACAGCATATAGGGACATCTCCCCTGCGGGTAACAGGCTCAACAAGACAGTTTGGTGGTTGTCTTGTGTATCTCATATATGTTATGTTGGGAAGGTGCAGATGATATGTGTTAGGTACTGGTCGGGCGTTTTGTGTGTGTGTTTTTTTTTCTTTTTTTTCTTAACATAGTCTATATTTTATTTTTTTTTCAGCTTGCTTTTTGGGGTCCGCCGGTCATCCCCCCACCACCCATTAGTTCAGTTTTAAATGTTGTTGTTGTTGTTGTTGACGACGATACCCGTCGAGATGCCATACACAATGAATCCATTGCTAATCTGTCTCAGACTCTTTTCTATGATGGAGATGGATTCGTTGTGTCATATTAAGAAGAATAAAAAAAAAAGCATCCTGTCGTTACTCTATCGATGCGATACCTCACACCCACCCCTACTCACGCCGACGCAGACACAGACAGGCAGACTCAGCTCCTTCGCCTGTGCTGTATCTGTTGTTCGTGCGTGCTGAAAAATGGTACATACCCCAGCAGCTTACAGCAGCAGGAGCTGCTTTTGCTTGTTTGTACAGCTTTTTTTCCTGCAGGGATGGCTCTTGGTGTGCGGCAAGTTGCATTGATTGTTTGTTTGTTGTTGATGCGGACGAGAGGACGAGAGTGGTAGGCAAAAGCAGTACGTACCGTGTTAAAGGGACAGACAGAGTGCCTACCGTGTGTACAAGGGACAGACAGTGTGTATGTAGACGTTGCATTTCGTGTTTCCCGAGGATCGGATGTATGTGTTGTTTTTTTATTGCGTACTACCCGCGTCCATCACGACCATTATTGCGTAGTGTGTCGGCTAATTGAGGTCCTTCCCGTTCGTGGTGTCAGCACACGCGCAACACGCGACTAAAATAAAAATAAAAAGCTTGGGACTAGCAACGCCGACGATATTTGTCGGCTTGCTTTCAACAATAAGGATATCGGAAGACCTCAAACTCCGCAGCTCTTCAATGCCTTTCCAGAAATCGTGAGACAGAGGCTTGTTGTTTAGAAGGTGCTTCTTGATGTCCCCGAGCTGGCTCGTCGACAGCTCTTGTTGATCTCTGAGGGTGACCAGCTTGAACTTGGTCAAGCCCTCACGAGAGCTGGCGGAGAGCACCATCAAAGCCGTGTACAGCAGACAGCATGTCGTGGTTCGCAGCCTGTCTGGTGTGCTGTGCCAGAGACTGAGCGCCAGCAGAGCAGAGCGCAGAGCCCGCAGGGGGCCGGAGGGGGCGCCGCAAAACGAATAACACTCCCCTCTCGGCGTACAACTAATAATAATGCACTTTGGGAGGGGGGGGGGAGAGGGGGAAAGAGCGAGAGAGCTGTGGGGTTTGTTTCTTATTCGACACACTCCCCCGTAACCCCTCGTTTCTTTGTAGCAGGGCAGCGGTCGCTGCTGTGTTTCTTATTGAGACATTTCTTATTGTTGTGTGACCCAGATTGAGCTATGTTTCTTAACCCTATTTTCTTATTTTTCGTGAAAAAGTGAGCCTATAAAATTCTCTTTAAAAAATATTTCTTATTTGCGGGCCCTAACTGTAGTTCACTCCTGTCGTGGAAGATCGCCCCACACGGCAACCACACGAGAAGTGTTCAGCGCCGCCCGAGGCACTGGCAGGCACCTTCCGACCTCCTCCGTCATTTGCTGTGTAAAGCTGTCACAGATAGTTTTTGCCTGTCACACACCGCCGTCACTGGTGCCTGACCATCACGTGATACATACATACATACATTCACAATAACGTGTGGAATCGTTCTCTTCCTTTCACCTTCAAAGTGAACGAAGAAGGAAGCTACTCTTGTCGATCATCGATGGGACCTCTTTTGGACTGAAACACCCTTAGCGTTACCGAAGTTGCACATGGATGGGTACTGACCTCGCTATCCGATACACCATCGTCCCTATAGTTTGAACGCAATGAAACACATTTGTCTCCATGGTTCAGACTGACCAAGAACTAGGTTTCTACCAATCGAACTCGCCATCGGGGAAGCGATCTAGGCGCCCTGGGCTGACGAATCTAGCTATCCCAGACCGAAAACGTCCACCCCCTGCAGACGCAACAATTGGGAGCAGCAGAGGCGATGTCATCTCCGATATAGGTAGAATTCAAGCACGGCATCGTGGAACCGTGAATCTTGTATCCCACGGTCAGTGTAGTTTCCTTTTTCGTGCGTGCCGTGTGAAATCCGATGCTCCGCCTCAGCTCATGCCCTTTCCTTCGCAAGCGCAAGCCCTTTGGCGTTGAGCTCGATCTCATATCTGTAGCAAGATCCACCGACAGTCCGGTCGCTTAGGTACGCCATTCCGTGACACAATGAATCGGTCATCGGCATCCACTGGCCTGAGACCAGATGATTTCAGCTTGTGCTCTCTCGAAGCGAACGCGTAGCACTTGTTGGTCCCGGCGGTAGGCTAAGGGTTCAGCTTTGTTTACAGGAGGAACCACGGTTGTGGAAGGGAATGTATACCGACACCTGCAGGCTTGCAATGCTTGCAGGTGCAGAACAATACGAAGTCTACTTTGTCTTTACATGTACCTATCAGAATAAGTGGCCATCCACCATCACCACGGACACACACACACCTGTCGTTAAGCTGTTGATAAAGATCTTTGAGTCTAGCGGAGCGTCTAGCGACGAGCTCGACGTTCGCGAGCTCCATTTCGTTATTTTCGATCTCCTTTCGCCTGCCTCGCTCGGCTCGCATCGCGGCCTTTTCTGAAGTCAACGCCCACCGGGCCTACCGAAAAAAATGTAAATAAATTACAAAAGCATAAGAAATGAGCGGTGGTATTCAAGTTCGACCATCACCAAGCAAGCCCTCACGCTACGCCATATGGACATTGCTATCGTGCATTCACTATTCTATTCTGCAACATGACGGCTATGAAACG